TCAGTGAATGCATGGATTGCCTCTGACTTAACCATTGCTTTACTGGATGGTAGACTCTTAAATTTTTACGTATATTAAGCTTACTTCAAGAGATAATTTACATTTATTATATTTAGTGTGTGTGTGTGCATGTGTATGTGTGTGCGCGCGTGTGTGTGCGTGTGTGTGTGTGTGTGTGTGCGCGTGCACATGTGCATGTCCTAGCTTGTTGTATGAAGGTCAGAGGTCAGCTTGTAAGAGACAGTGTTCTCTTTCCACCGTGTGGTCCCCAGGGATCGAATGCAGACAGACAGACTTGGAGGAGAACTCCTTTACTCCCTGAGCCACCTCGCTGGCCCATGAAGAGTGTTTTTCCTGTTCTCATTGTTTCTATGATAGTAACCCAGAGTTGCAATTGCCAGATGACTCTTAAGGTATTTCAGGAAAAATGTATATGACCCATGTATAAGTGTGCGGTGGTAGTGCACACACCTTTAATCCCAGCACTCGGGAGGCAGAGGCAGGCAAATGTCTGAGTTTGAGGCCAGCCTGGTCTACAGAGCGAGTTCCAGGACTGCCAGAAACAAAACAAACAAAACAAAACAGCCTGTCTTTCAAATTCTCACCAGCACTGATGATTGCCATTTTAAAATTTTTCCTAATCCATATTTTCATTCATTTAACTGTAACTGGTATTGTTTTCTGTTTATTTGTTTGTTTGCTTATGTGTTTTTGTTTTTTCAAGACAGGGTTTCTCTGTATTGTTTTGGAGCCAGTCCTGGAACTCGCTCTGCATGTAGACCAGGTTGGCCTCGAACTCACAGAGATTCACCTGCCTCTGCCTCCTCCTAAGTGCTGAGATTAAAGTCATGCACCAACAATGCCCAGCCTGTAACTGGTATTAAGAGTATGCACTTTTGGGGTTTTCTTGAGATAGGACCTCACTGTGTACCGCAGGCTGATCTAAAACTTTGCCTCTGCCTCAGAATTACTGGATTATAGGCATGAGCCACGTATTTATTGGCAATTTTTGTTTTGACCAGTAATTCACCCCTTAATGTCTTCTGTATTTGTTTGTGATGGGCTTGGTGCTGCTACTACAATTTGGAGGGAGAGAGAGAGAGAGAGAGAGAGAGAGAGAGAGAGAGAGAGAGAGAGAGAGAGAGAGAGAGAGAGAGAGAATACAGTGATTCTTTAATAGTTTCTCATACCGTCAGGTGGTGGTGGTGGTGGTGGTGGTGCACACCTGTAATCCCAGCACTCGGGAGGCAGAGGCAGGTAGATCTGAGTTCAAGGCCAGCCTGGTCTACAGAGTGATGTCCATGACAGCCAAGGCTACACAGAGAAAACCCTGTCTCAAAAACAAATGTATTTCCTCATGTTGTGGTGACCCCCATCCATGAAATTATTTTTTTATTCTACTTCATAACTGTAACTTTGCTTCTCTGAAGAATTGTAATGTAAATACCTGCTGTGTAGGATATCTGATATGTGACCCCTAGGTTGATAAGCGATGCTGTCGTTTAAAGCAGTTACCCTCTGTCCTATTTACTGAAGACCCTTTGCACACGCACACCGCTCCTCACCCCAGGCTCTTACAGGTTTTGATACAAACTCTGTTGCTAACCTTTCTCCACCCAAAAGTGTGATTTCCCTCCGTTTCACCTTCTTCAAGTTTGTATTTTTTCTTCATTGCCTTTTTATTCCACCTGGAGTCATCTTAGGGTCCAGGATGACTTGAGAGTGTAGATTCTTTTCTGCCTGACTTTTGACGGCTTGAGTGAACACTGCATTGTCCGCGTCCAATCTGTGGCCCTCAGGGGATCATATGATAAACCCTTGTGGATGCCAAATTTGTTTCTGGGCTATCTGATCTAGCTGTCCATGCTCCATCAATCCCATGGCCTTTTAATTATTAAAGCTTTAGAATAAATTAAAAGTAATACTACCCTTTCCAATTTTATTGTGTCTTGACTAGTGATTTTCCCTATTATTCTTTAAAATTACTTTTAGGGTCTTTCCCACCTCCCAAGTCTCCAATACCATTGCCACACACACGAAAGTTCGAGTTAGGATTTAATAAGTTAGCTACTGATTATTAAAACATCTCCCTGGTAAATTGTGTCATGGAAGCAAGCTCTTGACTCCTATATTAATTTAATATCTAAATACTCATTAATTAGTTGCTAAACTCTGATTAATCTTTATTAGAAAGTTCTCTTGGGTTTTTCATGCATATAATGTAATAATTTTCTCTCTCCCTCCTACCCATGGGCATTGCTGCTGTTTTTCAATCAGAACCCTTGATGTAATAGATTGCATTTATAGATTTCCTGATGCCGAATCATTACAGCCTTCCTGGGATGAAGGTCCACTTGGTTATAATGGATCTATTTGCTGGCATTTCATTTAGGGCTTCACCATCCATTCACATTAGACAGGTCGGCCGATATGCTTCTTTCTTTTTAACTTACTGAGAGATTTTACTTGGAGATGATTGGCCAGCAGGCTCGTTTTTTTCCCCTGCATATTGGGCCTTTTTGCAAATGACAACGATTATCTTAATTTGTCATTGTTTGGATGAATTTACCTACTAAATGGCCGTGACTTTAGAGCCCTCCCTCTAAAGGCAACTCTTGCAGAACTTCATTTTTTTTTTTTTCATGTCTTTCATCTCTTCTGGCTTTGATCTTTTTTAGTAAGGTTCAATGATATTTATTTTCCTGAAACATTGTTCTTTTTTAACTTAACATAGTCATAATTTTTGTTATGTCTTACCTCTTCCATATTTCTTTTCATATCGAACTTTCTAATCCTTCTTGCCTTTATATTTCTTAGTTTCTGGTTAATTTCTGGTTTTATCTATATTGTGTCCTTTCCTACATCATTTTAGCTGGTGATGGTTTTCTGATTTCTTTCTTTTTTTTTTTTTTTTTTTTTTTTTTTTTTGAGTCAAGATTTTGTAAACACTCTCTGCTAGAAATACAATGCAACCCACTCACAGAATTTTAAATGTAATTATATGTCCTACTTAACCTAGTGTATTTAAATTTTCAGCTTATACTCAACATATTTTTTAATCTTATGTGCAAGTGTATAAGTGTGTGGGTGTGTACACGTGGGTGTAGGTGCCCATGAAGGTGGATTGGGTGTCAACTTGACATAAGCTAGAGTCACCTGAGAGGAAGGAGCCTCAATCGAGGACTCATTTTGAGTATTCTTGGAGGCATGCTTTTACCTGTCTGTGTCTCATGGTCAAGCTGAGGAAAACAATCACATAAAAATCCCTATGGTATAAACTAGGAAGTGATGTCTGCTTCTGGGTCTTCTTTCCCCTTCCCATAGTCTTAACCTCTGAGCCATCTCTCCAGATCAAGTCTCAACCAGTCTTTAGCAATCTAATTTTGCATTATTAGCTAACTACTTCTATAAAATTATCGTTTAGGTTGCATTTTAAAATTAGAATTCAGCTGAAATGAATTTTTAAAATAAAAATTAAATATCTTCTCTTCCAAAAGTTATTCCTAGCTTTTGATTTGCTCTTTAAAAACAGTCTTTTACTGACTTATTTTGACTTAACTTTGTTAAGTCTGCCTGGTTTCAATTTCAGTCTCTCCTTCCTGTTCTTCAATACCATGATTCCTGATACCATAATACCAGAACTGAGGCACATATTTTGTTGGCTGAAACATCCATTCAGGGAAGTTCTAGTGTCTTACCTTTAATAAAATTATATACATTTTGCCGGGCGTTGGTGGCACACGCCTTTCGTCCCAGCACTCAGAATGCAGAGGCAGGTGGAACTGTGAGTTCGAGGCCATCCTGGTCTACAGAGTGAGTTCCAGGACAGGCTCCAAAGCTACACAGAGAAACCCTGTCTTGAAAAACCAAATATATATATATGTATGTGTGTATATACATATACATATATAACATTTTATCATTTCCACCATCCTAAGTGTACCACTTGCCAGAGTAAAATATTAAGTACACGTTGTTGTACAAGAAATCTCTAAAACTGTTCATCTTACAAAGCTGAAACTCCCCATTGACTCCTGTGTCTCCCTCCCCAGAACTTGGCAATTTCCGCTCTCCTCCCTGCCCCACACCATGGCCTGACAGCCCGCTTGTCTGCATCTCAGAACCCTAGCCTTCACCAAGGCTCTCTCTGATTTCCCGTTGCGAATACTCCTACTTCTGAACTCCCAAAAATCACTTTTCCAGGGTCTCCTGATGGCAATAACCTGTCTGTTGTGTGTCGGTAGCACACATAGCACAATAATATTCCTAAGGATGGGTGAGTGGATGGGTGGATGGACGGACAGACAGATGGGCAGATGAAGATATTTGATTCTCCTTCTGGGTGGGTAAGATGGCTCAACACTTGCCATGAAACCCTTAGTTTGACCCCCCGCAAACCACATACAGGTGAAAGAAAACTGACTCTAGAGTTGTCCCCTGACCTCCACTCTGTGGCACTCCCACAAAAAGGTAATAATAAAATAACATTTTCCTATTTTCTGCCAGGCCAGTAGTGGGAGGGAGTTGTTCTGCCCTGAGGCTAAAATGGGCCTCAGTAGTGGACTGCTGGTCTGTAAGGGCGAACAGTGTTCTCCTAACTCCCTGATGGGATGGCGGTTTAAGAGACAAAGGAGGCGATTTAAACAGATTGAACTGGGAGCTAATGAATCTGAGAAAGCTAATGAATCTGTCACTCCCTAGCCCTTCCCACCACACACACTCCACACACCACCATATGCATTCCCAGGCCATAGTCTGGGGATCTTCCAGGCAGGGTTAGGGAACCTGTGAAGAGGAAGGGAACCAGGACTGAGCAACTCTCAGAGGAAGAAAAGCTGTTCCCCCAGCCCAGGGTACGCGGAAGTGGTGCCCTGGTGGACACAAGGCCCGGTAGATTTGACCACACATGGGATCAGCTGTAGGTGCATGTGGTGCAGCCGAGGTTGCCTGGGCCCCTCCCAGCCCCAGTGAGGCTGACATGGTCTCTTGTGCCTGTGCAGAAGGACTTCACCGTTCGCGAGGAGCTGCAGCAACTGGATGTGGAGCGCTGGCTGGGTTTCATCACCTTCCTGTGTGAGGTGTTCGGCACCATGCGGAGCAACACGGGCGAGCCCTTCCGAGTGCTGGTGTGCCCCATCTACACGTGCCTCAGGGAGGTAAGAGCAGAGGCCTTGGCCTCCTGAGGGCCCCTTCCATCCTCCTGCAGCTGCTACTGGAAGCCCCGCCCGGTTATACATGAGAAAAACTCAAGAAAGCAATGAAGTTGAATTACATATAAAAGAATGGATCCTTTGAAAAGGAGAGAGATAATCCTCCATGCTTCTACTTCATGCATAAAGAAATAAGTTTTTTACTCAGACTCCGTTAATTCCTAATCTAGAATTTAGCACAGGGGTTTAGGGTGGTGGATCAGTGAATCCTTGGATTGATTTGGTTTACCACTGAGTTGTTTGTTTGTTTTTAATGTTTGCTTCTAAAGTTGGTCTTAGGACTGGAGAGATGGCTCAGAAGAGCGCTGGCTGCTCTTCCAGAGGTTCTGAGTTCAATTCCCAGCGACCATAGGGTGGCTCACAACCATCCATAATGAAATCCGGTGCCCTCTTCTGGCCTGCAGACACACACTCAGGCAGAACACAGCATACAGTGAAATTGATCAGAGGGTAAGAGCCCTTACTGCTCATTTAGAAGTCGCAAGTTCAGTTCCAAGCACCCACGTGAGGCCGTTCATAACCACTTGTTCATAACCAAATTCCAGGGAATCAGTGCTCTCTTCTGGCCTCTGTTGGCGATGCCCACATGAGGTACATGTAAATTCACACACACACACACACACACACACACACACACACACACACATATATAAAAATAAAACTTTTAAAATTATAAAGAGAAGCCAAGAGATTTAGGAGAAGGAATTTGGGGGGTGGGGTGCTTGCTCTTCCAGATATAATTAGTTCACTTTATAAGGTCACTGTGGCTGTTTGGAGGGGAAGGAGGAGACGACAGACATGAACAGTGGGGGCCAACTGGGAGGTCGGTGGTGGGAAAGCAACCCACCACCCACTGGAAGGGAGCAAGCCGAGGGGGGGCTCTGGCATCCTTGAGAGTGGCTGACTAAGCTAGAAGGGAGAAGAGCATGCTGGGACTCCCGTTTACCAGCCCCACGGCGGCCACGTTCGCTAGGGTGTGTGTGTGTGTCAGGAAGAGAGGCAGGAAAGTGGGTCCCAGGACATATATTTGGGTCCCTTGTTGAGTCTCTCCAAAGGCTGCCCTGAGGACGGTGGACAGAAAGATCTCAAGCTCCACAAGATGTCACATGGGAAAAACTGTTTCTGTCGAGCATCGATGTGCACCTGGCGCTAGAGGCTGGGAAGGGGCGGCATCGCCCAGGAAGATGGTGCAAATGGGGGCTGGGGTCGTAAGGGAGGTAGAGGAAGGGTGGCCAGGAGGGAGCGGGCTACTTGGGAAGTGATGTTCCCCCAAGTTCCAGAAGAGTAAATGAGAAGCATCCCAGCATCCTTCAATAGGAGCTGGAGCCAGCCCTGACTCCACCCACCCCTGACTCCACCCACCCTGGCAGCCCTGTGCTGCCATCAGGATGCAGGGGATGGCAGAGATGACAGCTGTGTGGGCAGGTTCTTCAGAGCATCTCCTGGGGAAAAGCTACAGAGAAAATGGACAGAAAGGAAGCGGGCAGGGGTCAAGAGGCATGCTTGAGTTTTTTAATTAACTGTGATAAACAAATTGAGCAATTTTGGAGGGTGTGCTTGTGTTCGGGGGACACTCCTTTATAGGGCAATGGTGTGCTCGCTCCAGCCTCAAGCGGGGCACACATTGCCCTTGGGCCACCTTTAAACCCGATGCGCTGAACCACCCCACGTTTGGCGGTCTCTGTTTCTTTATGAATATGCTCCTCGTCAGAGACACCTCACTCGTTCAGTTCGTGGCCTCTCCTGACTTGATTTTACTCTTCAGGGCCTCGGTTCAATATGCAGTACCAGGAGGGCCAGCAGCCTGGCCTTTTGTGTCCTTTGGAGCGTGTGCCGGGCGGCCTTCTCCGGGGAGGGGGCAGGGAGTGCCCATGCGTGCCCACATGGCCCCTGTGAACCATCTCAGGGTAAGGGCCGGCTCTAGGGCAGTGACCTGAATTGCCCAGTCCTTTCTGCATGATCTGGGCCCTTCCCCGTGGTGATGCTGTCACCTGCTCCCCCAGCAGGAAACGGGCCTGTGGGGGGAGTGCTGGCCCTGGCTGCTGGGAGGCTTTTCACACCACCTAAGGTAGTGCAAACTTTGTGGTGTGAGATCCATCCGGAAGGTGCCAGGAGGTCTGCACAGTGAGGCCCTTCCAGTGCACACTTGTTTGATGAGTCAAGCTTTGGGGGCACACTTTGACAAATACCGGATCCCATTGTGCTCACAGTAATCTTGAATAGTAAACCATCAGCATTTTGCAAAAAAAAAAAAAAAAAAAAAAAAAAAATGGACCCGCTCCCTGGCCCCCTGCCTCCCACCCCACCCTGGCCCCGGGATCAAGCTACCCACTGCCTGTGTTCACATTCGCCTGGTTTTTGAGCTGTACCCTCCTGGGGAAGAGATAGCTTTCCCCGACTGCAAAAAGGCTGTCACGGCATTTCCCATTAGTTATTCTTTCTTGGCTGTGATGGCATTTCCCATTAGTTATTCTTTCTTGGCTGTGATAGACAGATTGCCTGATGGAAAATAATTAAGGGAGAAAAGATTTGGTTTTGCTCATGGGTTCAAGGGTCTTGTCTGTGAAGACGCGGGCTCACACACCTGAGCAGAGCGTGATGGTGCCTGGAGCGTGTGGCCGAGGGCAGGAAGCAGTGAGACGGACTGGAAGTGTCTGAGGATACGCACCACTGGAGGGCATACTTCCCTCCACCACCTGAATACCAAACTTCTCTCGCCCTATCCCGCAGACTTCCAGGCCTTCCCCAGATAGAACTAGCAATCCAGGGCTTAGCTTTCAAAACGGGGCCTATGAGGGACAGTTCAAATTCAAACCAGAAGGCACTATTTTTCTAACACCATTAAAGAGAATAGCGCTGCAAGCAGAGGGAGCTGAGTGAGACAGAGTAGCTAGGACAGAACATAGATGTGCCCAGAGGGCCCACTGCGCACTGGGGCTCTAAGAATCGTGTTCTCCTGGCTTGGGAACTAAGCCTTTGGCAGATCTTAAAGGGAATATGAGCAGAGACCCTGCTCAGAGACATAGCCAATCTATGCCAAGGGTTGGCCTGGAGATCCTGAACCGCCCATCCGAGGATCTTTCCAAGAAACTACCCTCGGATGTGGCCTTAAGAAAGCTGGGTACTGGTGGCACATGCCTTTAATCCCAGCATTTGGGAGGCAGAGGCTGGGGGATCTCTGAGAGTTTAAGGTCAGCCAGGTCTACAGAGCAAGTTCCAGGCCAGGCTCCAAAGCAATACAGAGAAACCGTGTCTCAAAAAAAAAAAAAAAAAAAAATGAAGCCTTGAAGAGGTGAATTCTAAAGTCAGCTGCCACCTACCCTGCTTTGTCACAGACGCAGACGCATACCCTAGCTTGAGCAGCAGCCCCAGAGCAGGTGGAGCCAGACCAGGGAACTACCCAAAGCCAGATTTGCTGTTTTGCTGCCTACCCCTTGCTGGGGAGGCAGAGGCTTTCCCTGGGGGCTGTGCAGGTGACTGCAGCACCTGCCCCTCCTATCCACATGTTTAAGTCTAACTTTTTGTTGCTGAGATAGATATCTCAGGGAAACCGTTTAAAAGGAGGAAAAATTAGTTTTGTTCCATGGTTTTAGAAGGTTTAGGTCTTCCGGCTGCGTTGTTTTAAGGCCTGTGGTGAGCCAGAAACATAATGGAGGAAGGGCATGGCCAAGGAAGGCTGCTCCCCTCGGGCAGCCACGAAGCAGAGAGAGGAAATAACAGGAAGGGGCCAAGATGGAGAGATTCTTGTGTGTGTATTCATGTGTGTCTTCCTGCCTCCTGTCCACACCTTGAATTTGCTTAACGTATTCTTTTTGACTTATTTTTCTCGGGCTGGGGAGATGGCTCTGTGTAAAGCACTTGTCATGCAAACATGAGGAGTAGACTAAGGTTCAGATTCCTCAAGCCCGTTTTAAAGCAGATATCACACAACTGTAATCCCAGTGCTGGGTGGTAGGGATGGGAACCCTGGGGCCAGCCAGTTAGCCCGACTAGCCAAGTCTGCAAGCTCTGGGTTAGCAAGAGATCCTGCCACAGTTAATAAAAGTCAAGAAAGACCCCCAGCATCAGCCTCTGACCTCTAAATACATACTCACATGTATGTGAGCACACTCACACGTACAACACACAAATGTAGCCACACACAAAGGGGAAAAATCATTAATGTTGTAGTGCTAATACTTAACTGGAGATCTACCCCGTGAACAGATTCTTAACTGTAAATACTGTGGTGTTATCTATATGTACAGCACTGTATAGCACATCTCTAGTACTCATTTATCTATTTAACTGCTGGTTTTCCACTCACTGATAAGCAAATGACTGCCCTCTTCACACTCCACTCCTCCAGCCTTTGGAAACCATTGGTGTATTCCCTGACTCAGTGACTTTGACTATTTTAGAGACCTGAGGAATTAGCATGGCTTCTGTTTCCATCATGCCAGATGCTGACTGTTTTATTTTTTTAAAAAAGGAAGACTTATTTAGCTTACGGTTTTTGGAGGCTACAAGTCCAAACACCATGATACTAACCCTACCAACTGTTTCACACCATGGCGGAGATGGCATCATGGCAAAAGATCACGGGATGAGACAGGAAGCCAGAGAGAGATGCGGAGGTCGGGCCTGTTCTTTTGCTTATTTCATAACAACTGGCAGGCTCAGTCCACAGCATCTCCCGCTTTGGGTGGTAGTTACCCTCCTCCCCCATGATCTGATTTCTTCTCATTATACCTAACCTTCTTAAAAGTTCTGTGCCAACTCCCAACACTGCCACACTGGGGACCAAGCTTCCAATATATAAACTCTTAGAGGGCAAACCTCCTCCAAACCATAGCACCAAATACACGTGGAACCAGGCAGAAATTAACCTCCTTGGCTGGCTTGTTTCACTCAGCGTGATGTCCTGCAGGCTCATCCACATTGCTGGTACTGTGGGATTTGCTTCT